CTGACTTGGCTCCCGGCGTCTCGTCGCTGTCGTGGGCCCAGCCGTCCACTGACCTCTCTCCCCCTTCTTTAAGCTCGACGATTTCCTTTTGCTCGCTTCCGACCGGGTCCGAGAGAGATCGACTAAATAAGTAAATAATTTTAGTGGACCCGAAAGTCCTGGCCCCTCAGGAACCGAATCTCCGCACGATCAGGCGACAGAGAAATCGCCAGAACAAGCGAGCGCGACGGGAGATCGAACTCCCCCGAGAGCAGCTCAACGCCGGTCCTCCGCGACTCGCCATCCCACCGCCCCTACCAGCGTTTACAGAAGAACCCGGTTGTTCGAACCAGAATCGTCCCACTAACATCCTGCCCTATCGCCCAGTCGTCCTGCCTTTTCGCCCAATTGTCGAACATCGCCCTATTTGCCGCGTGGCTCCGTTTCGCGTGGTCCCTCCTCGCGTGGTCCCCGTCAACCCCGATCCAGCCCGCTTCCTAGAACCTCCCGATTCTCCCTCCTCTTCCCGAAGTCCGTCTCCAACCTCTTCGACCGCCTCGACTCTCGATCTCGAGGAATTAGACGATCCAGAGATCGTAATCTTAGAATGAATTTTAATTTTTTTTAATTCTCATATGTTTAACTTCACAATTTACATATACTTTAATTTTAAGCCCGATTTAAATTAATTTACACACGTACATAACACTTACTAAATTCATGTAATCTCACTACTGATTCCGATTGTAATAATAGCGGGCAAGATGTTCATTTTCAAATAAGTTTTTCCTTAAAGATCTTGCCCGATCACCTCCGCACCTATGCAACACCCGCGAGAAATACACCCACTCGTTACACATACATCCGACACTCACACTTATAAATGTATTCAATTTTATTTTGCCTAATTCTCATTTATTGTTCACCTAGCTTATATTATTGTAATAAATGTTCATCTTATGTTAAATATTAATTTCAATTTGCATTCATTTATAACTTAAGACCCACTACCATCCACCTCTCGAAATTGCACGAGGTCCGATCCTGAGTTAAAGAGATTAAATTCTCTGACTCGAAAAAGGACCGACGATCGCACCGCTCACGGAAGGCGTCCTAACGTCCTTACAGACGTTGACCCTTTCTGAGTCATAAAAGTGCGTTCGGCTCGCGCCACGCGTCTCCGAGCGCGTACCTGCGAGCGACATTTGTAAGTATCTAGCTGCGTCCTCCCTTCCCCCGACCCCTCTGGCTAGCCTTTTTCTTGCTTCCCAGATTTTCACATTCTAATCCCGGGGTTGGACGTAACATTATATTACCTGTATTATATAGGCTGTGGTCCACTTGACGCTCCAAATGCTTCAAAACATTCCTCTTCTCCTTTCTTTCAATAAAGAAAGAAGGAGAAGTACGCTTCAAAGCATTTGTAGCGTCAAGTGGACCGCAGCCATAGTGATATAATATTTGAATTATAAATAATTTATAATAAACAAACCTAAAAATCTCCACAGATTTGGAGAAGTAGGTCCTAGCTGTTTGGAAATACTTCCATAAAAACTTTCAACCAAATTGTTTGTACGGTTAGGACATCCGTATACTGAGACTTTAGATGCAATTGGTAACCATGTATTTTTAACATACTGCATAAAATCAGCAATTGCTGGGTATTCATTTGTTAAGGTACTAGAAATTCTTTGCATAACATTTAATGATTCTTCAAACAAGTCACTTGGCGCCAAAGCCATTGTTTTTGCCATAGATAATAATTCACTAGGTGCATCGGCTAAACCTAATCGTCGCCATTTTCTTACAAGAGCCTGTAATATAGAAAAGTAGCTTATTAAAGAATTATGAAAATGATGTAAATGCGTTAACAATTTTTTTATTACAAAATTTATATTAAAATTCTGTCCCTCTCCTTTTTGTTTCTATCTACAGAAGGAAACAAAGTTATTCTTTATAAATAATAGAGAAAGTATGTTACGAGTGTACTACTATTTTGGTTTTAAATTTTAGTTTTTAGCTGAAAGTAGAAAATGAAAAAGGATATTTGCAGATATATACAACAATATACAGGGTAAGTTTTTTAAATTAATAGCGTTTTTCACTGGCAGAACTGGTGCGCACTCAGTGCACATTAAAGCCGTTGTACACTGATTTAGTATCTAATATTTAAAGTAAAATGCAAATATATCGACTGATAAAATACTCGCAGTACATATTTTACCAAATAGTGCAATAAAGAATATTGAGGATTTCATTATTTAACCCGATTATATTAAACATACACTTTACGTTGGTTTGTGTACGACGGCTTTAATGTGCACTGAGTGCGCACCGGCTCTGCCAGTGAAAAACGCTATAACACACCTAAATATCTAGAAAACAATTTTTGGAAAAAAGTTTAAAACAAAAGTTGTTTGGTTCTATGCGAACATATAACATTATTAAATTTTAATTTGGTAAACGTTTTTTTTTCAGGGTTGTTTCAAAGTCAACTCTTATTTTTTCTAATAGCACCTATATTTTTTTAACAGCATGTTATTTCATGTAAAAAACAAACAACTTTTATTTGAATTATTTTTTTTTTGCTTAATATTTTTCGAAAAATTTAAGAAAAACTTTATAACTTTTTCAATATTTAACTTACGATATCTCGATAATTGTTGATTTGTTGGAGAGAAGTGGTGCAGAACTTTTTCACTTGATTTGGTCTTAAGAATATGCTGTTGCAATAGTACCCCAATAACTTTTTTTTAAATACTTGTGTATACATCTTCTAGATTTTATGTCTAGATTCTGTATACACAAGTATTTCGAAAAGTTGAGGTACTATTGCAATAGCAGATTTAAGACCAATTATGTCAAAAAGTCCTGTATTACTATTCCCACTAACAAAGAATTATCAAGATATTAATATTGAAGAAATTATAAATTTTGTCTTGAATATGTTGAAAAGTATTAGGCAAATGAAAAAACGTTCCAGACATAAGTTGTTTTTTACATAAAATAAGATTTTTATTAAGATTTAAATTTTGTAGGAAAATTCAATAATTTCAGGAAAAACCTTTATTTTTCCGGTTGCTACAGTAGTGGTTTCTCCCTTAAATCTAATTAATATTATTTAAAATACCTGTGAATAATGAAACCAGCAACCATGGATAGTAACCATTGGGAATTGCTCGCTCATTGCTGATATCGCCGCATTCTCATAATCCGCCATGATAAATTTTAGATTTTTATTCAAACCAGGTGCAAGTGAAACAATTTTCTCCCACATTGCTTTATAGAGAGAGGCAGAACGTGCCTCACATAGTGCAAAAACTGTTGCTATTCCCTATAAATTGTACATGTGTCTTAATAAAATGTAAAATATACAAGGTGAGGCAATAACAATTGCCACCTTGAATATCTTAGAAAATACATATTATAGCAAAAAAAG